GTGAAAATTCCCAGATTGCACTCTTTTTCTCCAACTGGTCCATCTTACATCCAAAGCAACTCCATACCTGTTATGACTTAGAAAGGACTAAAAAGACTCGATAAAGACTTAAAAACACTTTAGAAAACATTGTTAGAATATGCTAAAAACACCATATATCACTCAAAAACAAAAATTAGTCTTACATGTGGGTGTTTATGCATCGGTATATACGTGGACAATATTATACAAGTGAATCATTGTACATGATAGTAAAAAATTTGTGTACACATGGACATTATATGGTTGTACATTTTGAAATTAGCAAAATTATTCAATTAGATAGTGTGATATTATGAAAATGTGTACACATATTTCTGCTATGTCACTTCTAAGTCAAAGTACACATCTTGAAACTTGTAAATCCAAATGAGTAATGTTATACTATGGTAAGAATGTATACATCTTGCTACAATTACATTTCAAAGAAAAATATTTTTCATCTCTTAAAGCCACAACGGTATACATTTTAGTCATGTCATATATTACTTAAATCATATATAGATGCGATGTGATTCATTTTAGTTTGGTTGTTGCAGAGATGAGAAGATTATATACTAGTAAAAGTACAAATCTCACTTAAAATTTTCAAATGTACAATGTTTTATTTATATATATGTACATCGTTTTACATATCCATATGAATAAAAGGGTGTGTGCGACCTGGTTGTACATATATTAGATATCTAAATATCCACAACAATGTGTACATAGAAAAACTACTCATGTGTACATATATGATATCTTATGTTTTTAATGACTTGTTTAAAATTATCAAATGTACAATCTTTTAGTTATATATGTGTACATCATTTTACATATCCATATGAACAAAAGGGTGCGTTCGACCTGGTTGTACATAGATATTAGATACCAAAATATCTACATCGATGTGTACATACAAAAAATACTCATGTGTACATATATGATATCTCATGTATTTAATGACTTTTAGCATCTCGTTTTGTGTTAACCTTATTGTGAGTTCATGAAGTCGTAGATGTTTAGTTATTTAGATAGAAAACCTACTAAAAGGTGTACAAAATAATTTTGATGTATAATACAAATTAAGTGTACACATGTACAGTTCGACTTTAATGTACACACGACTTTTTTCATTAATATTGCAAAATTACAAAAATGACCTCATCTTCTTCCTTGGCCATTTTTGACCAGAAACCCTAATTTCCGCCTAAATCGCCTATTTTCCACGATTCTTTACATTTTTAACTTGTTTTAATGTATTTTGTACATAGATGTGATAGCTTTCAAGTTTCAATCCTAATTCATGGCTTTGTCTGAAAAATTTGAACAAATGTGATTTTTTTTGGTTTCGGATTTATTGAACGATTTGTTCCAAATCGTCACGTTTGAGTGTCCCCTTCTTAAAAATGATGTCTGATTAGGTTTAATGAAGACGTACAACGGCGAAATATCAGAGTGGTCTGCTGAAAGAAATTGAAAACAAAAAATTGATGAGATTTCACGGCAGTCTCTTGAATAATTCTGTAAAAGTCATTTTTTGAAAAAAAATAAAAAAGATTTCAGAAGGGTTGTGATGATATCCCATCAATAAAATAAAGAATAGATATAAAACTTAGTTAGTGTATGGAAATTAGTTAGGAACTTATTTAGTTAGCTTTTAACCTTTAGGCTTTTAACTATAAAGTGAGTTTAGTTAGATAAAACTACTTTAGTAGTAAGATCTATCCCATAGTGTAATAATAAACTTAAAACTACCCTAGAGTGTAATATTTTCTATTTGTTGCCTGGATCTGGTAAAAAAAATTTGGTATGTTTTTCAAACCAAGAGTCTGGTTTTCTTTATAAGAAACAATATATATATTTTTCTAACTGTAATATAGTATTACTAAAGCCGGTCTGCACTTCGCACGGGATATGTTAAAATGTTAGGTTGTCATATGTATTCTAACTTTGCATATGATATAAATAGTGTAAGTAGTTGCCTAAATTATTATTTTGGAGCTGGGATGGATATTAAGGTGCACATATTTAGAATTTTCATTTGGGTTTCACATTGTTGATTCTTATAAATACTTTTCTATTACAGTAGAATATATAATAAAGTATTATAATTAATATAATCAATAAACTATTATATTCTAATAGGAAATTACACCGAAGAAATAAGAACAGTAACTAAATCTTTAATTAAGGACTAAAATGATAACTATAAAAATTGAAACAATATATGAAATTATATAAGATTGTATAAGATAAAAGTTGACAAGATCGTTATTAAAACTAAAATTTCAAAAATTGTATAAGATAATAAAATTATAAGGACTAAAGTGATAACAATAAAAGTTAACAATATTATTTGAAAAACAGATAATTGCAAAGATTTTAAAATAAGGAAAATCAAATATGAAGGTTTGAAATTGCTTTCAGAACATGTAAAATTTCATATTTAAAGTTTTGAAATTTCTTTTGGAAATGCTCTTAACACACAACAATTTGATTTTGGTTCGTACTCCATTATATGTTTGCTTCAGTTTGAAATGTATTTTCTTAACAAATATTGTACAATTAATGAAGTTCTTGCTTGAGTCGATAATGTTTGGTAATATAAATATTTAACCGATAAGTGCATATTCAATATATTAACACAAAATAATGAAATTGACCAAAAAAAAAAAACACAAAATAATGAAAAAAAATATAATACATATTAATATTCAAAAAATGAATAGACACAATAGTTAATAAATTTTACTGGTCTTCAATTGGACATATGTAAAATATAACTTAATTTGATAAAATAATAATAACATCTGTTTATATATATATATATATATATATATATATATATATATATATATATAACTTTCATATAAAAATAAACAAATCATAAACAAATCAGTTTTTAAAATTAATTCAATATTCATTTTTTGTTAAATTTTAATATTCTGATGTTTTAATTGAATTACAAATAAAAGACATTTATATACTATCATCAAATTCAACACACATTATATATCAAATAATTTAATTTAGTAGATAAAATTTAACTAATATATAGCATCATAAAATTAATTTTGAACAACAGAAACAACTATTGTAAACAAACAAAATATATCTATCACATTTAATCTCTCTTCACCTAAAAGTTTTTACAAGACAAAAATCATTATCGTACACAACTCTTGCAACTGTAAATATAAAACATAAACAACAAAATCATTAAAAAATAACTTAGATTACAAATAAAATATTACGTAAGCTGAACCGATCCTAGTAATAGATTATCTTTTGCTATAGTTACATGATAATGTATATTTTAATTAACTAAACATTTATATATTGATGTATTTATAAATATATAAATTGTGTATAATTGTATTCTATTGTTTATAGAATCTATTGCGCCTTTTAAATATTACATGGGTTGTCTGATGTCTATAAACTATTATTATACTATTATGAATATTTTTATCATACTTTCAGTAGGGTTGGGCAAAAAATCCGAATCCGAAAACCGAACCGAATCCGATCCGATCCGAAAAAATAGTATCGAATTTGAACCAAAATTGGTTAAATATCTGAACGAGTTCAAAATTTTGGTTGTAAAGAAGTGAAACCGAACCCGATCCAAACCGGAAGACCTCGGGTACTCGAATAGATCTGAATGAAATTTATATATTTGAATATATTAGTTATTTTTAGATGTAATATCGAAAAAGAATCACAAATATATAAGATATTTTGAGGTTGTCCAAATATATTTAAAAATATATACCAATAATTAAAAGTAAATATTTAAATTAGTAAAACAATACTCAAAACACAGTCAATACTTAAAAAATCAATTGATTCTTTAGCCAAATATTCAAGTTAAACCAAATTTTATGTTAAGTTAAAGTATTTTCGCCTACATTATTCAAATTTAAATGTTATATATCACTTTTATTTTTCTTATTTTTTAAATTTAAGTATATTTTAATTTTAAAAATAATTTGAACGGATTATTCGAACCCGAACCACCAAACCCACAAAGATCTGAACCAAACCCGAACCATCAAATTTAATCTGTAAGTTTGAAAGAATAATTTGATTTCTAATACTTAAATGTATGGCCTACAAAATTTACTCAATGCTTCTCTTTCTTTGAAATGTAATTTATATTAACACCCTGTAAATTTACAAAAGAAATACTTTTTCACCAAAATTCAGACTCATTATTTTAATTGACTTTTGTTTAAAGTTATTTATTTGTATGGACAATTACTGGTAGTCTGATTTACTTTTATATTCCAGAGAAATGAAATATACTATTTTTATTGATTGTCGTTATAGCTTTAGTATTGTAAGATTGCTGCTCTTTTCCCATATATCTTTATTTGTTTATTTTTACAAAAGAATCTTAAATAAATTTAAAGAACCAATTTACTAACCATATTCCAAATCTTATTCGAGAAAGTACAACTAAAATAGGTTATCAAACCATTCCCATGTTCCAATCTTTCAATTTTTAAGTTTGAGTTGATGAGTCAAGGAGTTACCAACCTTCTCACATATATACATAATACATGACTGTCTTACTCTAGTACCAACACAAAGAAACGAACGAATTCATTGATGAGGGTGAAGAAATTTCAGAGAAGCTTAGCGATGTGATAAAATCGAATTCTTTTAGAGGTAGATAGATTCATATGCAACATGAATTTATTATTGAAATAGAATACATAATCTCCAGTGTCCCATCACAAAACAATTGTTACAATGTCACAACAACAGAACATTTTACATATATGCATAAAAAATGAAATAATAAAACAACATTTGTGGCTTCTTAACAAAAGAACTGTTGTCTTTATCAATGGCTGACTACAAAAGAATTGTGTTAAAAGGTTGGCTTGAATGTTCCTTCTTCGTCTTCTCCCCAGATCTCCCCCTAGTGTCTGTTCTATATCTACAACAGCCCTAAGATATTTTTGCCGTCAGCAAGTCGAAACTCGAGTTTTGATAGGCTTAAGCTTTAATCCCATGCTTTCAGGAGAGAGAAGCTCAGGTGAAATGCAACAAGGGCTAAGAGGACTTCTTGGGCTCTCTGAGAAACAAGACGGTCTATATAATCCATAACCCATCAAGAAATATTCCATTGGAACCAACATTGCATGTGGTTGCTCCTCTGTTACCATTGAACCACAAGCTTGAACCTGAAGATATCCAAAGAAGCCAAATAAAACATTGATTAGTAGCGACATAACCAAGATGTTTTAGTTAGGTATGTGAAGAGTAATAAAAAAGGCTAAGGACTAGGTTTCCCAAACCTCAACCAAAGCACAGTATCCTCTATCCATATTTGCTGCCATGTGAACAGCTTCTGAATAGAAGGGAGATTGATCTCCGATAAAGATAAGTGTCCTGCATTTTAGTTTCTTCAGTCCACTTGATATGTCAGGTCTCCTGCAAGAGTAAATGTTTGGTTCTCTTATCAAATTAAGAAAGCCAATATTTGACACAACGAATGCTGCTTAGGTGTTTGTTGTTTTACCGATCAATGGCATCAAGAAACCGCACGACATTTACACTTTTCCTCTCATCAAGCAGCTGAAGACATTACCAAAAGCGTAACTATGTCAATTACTTGATATATAAATTGATGAATCAAAACAAAAAAAAAAAAAAGAAAGAACGAAAGGTAATGAGAACACTGACTCTTCTGCAAGCTTGTGCTATATCTGACTCTGGTATCTCTATGTTACCACGGACTTCCTGATGCAAGTAGAATCAATTTTATCACAAACCAGTTTTAAACAGAGCAGAACTAGTTATGCAACACAGTGTTAACTACAGTTAACGCACCTTACTGAAATATCTCTGAAGCAAAAATTCCTTTACCATTCCACAAATTCCGTAGAAATACAACAAGTTTGAGACAACTCTGTTGTAAAACCATTCAGACCAAGACGGCGACTTGCATAGCGGTGAGATAAGAATCAAACCCAGAACTCTTTCTCTATGTTTCATCTGAAATTTTTTAAGACACATAACAGATGATAAACACACACTGTCTGAGGAAACGGATTGTGGAGAAGACTGGAGATAAATAGGAACATACAGCGAATAATGTGAGGATGTAAGCACCTGCCGTCACGCCCATACACATCACAGCACCAAGGCTGAACAAAAAAAAAGCTTATACGTCATTAGTTACATGCCTTTTTTCATGTATGCAACTTCAATAAGCCACAAATATAAGAGCTTCATATTTGGTGATTACCCGAAAAAGTTGAGAACTTCAAGGATCTGATCCGCCAAATCATCAGCAGAAGGGACTGGATCAGTAGGATAAATCGGAGCAGCTCCTAACTGCAAAAGCTCTTCGTGGAAAGAGATGAATCATGTGAGTAATTACGCAAACTTAGCTAAAAAGAGAATCTAAAATAAGGACCTCATGACCGGGTGGACTGATATGATAAATGCAGAAGTTATGAAGTAGCAAAGAAGCTGCTTCAGGGCAGAAGAATAATCCTTGGAAGCATGACATATCTGAAGAAGAAGCAACGCAACAGCCATTAGAAAATCAGAAAAAGAAATAGAAAGTAAAGATTTTGTTAAGACATACGGTTAAGGGCCAGATCAGGATAAGTAATCAATGCTGGCTTTTCTCGATCTCCATAGACAATGACCGACACAACACCACAAGCAGTTTTAACACGATGCTCCTGAAAGAAAAATACCAACCAGTTTTAACAAAAAAAGCAACCACCACCAACAGAAAACTTCTAACCATACACTATCTCTTTAGTCTTTTAGTCTTTACCATTATCTTCATAAAGCTAGGAATAGACAACTTACTTTAGGTAAGTAATAAGATATACAAGAGACGACAATAAAGTAAACAAATGAAAATCTGTGTTAGAACTATTCCATGTGCAGCTTTCTACTTTTTAAGGGGCAAAAAACCAAAATCAAAACTTCATCATCATCCAAAGAATGGCCTAATTTCTAATCATTGTGAAGTTTCTTTTTAATTAAAAAAAAAAGAGAATGACAGTATAAAAAGATGAGCAAGAATATGAGTGTTAACGAGATGATAAAAGAAGCAATAGTCTTAATCTTTTAAATAAACAAAGGGTTAAAGGTAGACAAAAACAGCTGGAGTTTTCTTCTTTTGTACCCAAAAACAAAAATGAAAAGAAAATAAGACAAAGAATAAACGAATACAAAAGAAAAAAGATCCCAAGAATAATCCACAAGCAAAGAATTTTCCAAGAAACTACAACATTCTTCAAAAAGAAAATGAGATTTATTATTACAAATCAATTAAATCTAAACAATGTCTTATCAATGAATTAACAAAACCATAACATTCTCCCACAAAATCTCAATCCGAAAACTATACAATGTTCTTCTTCCCCAGAAGATACCAAATTAGACTCATTCAAGCAAGTTTCAGAAACAAAAGACTCAAGCTTTATAAATTCAAGAAACTAGAATTGGAATAAAGGGTAGGGGAAAAAAAGAAAGGACCTTGCCACCAAGATAGATCGTTCCAAGGTCGACGGAAACGGAGCCGTTTGAAACCTTCTTCGTCATTGGCAATAAAAGCTGTCCTCCGTTTCCGCCGTCGTTGCCTTTATTTGCCGCGGGATAACAAGAGAAGGCTCTCTTCTCTTCCTCTTCCTTCTCTCGCTACCTCTAGAATGTTTTTGGCTTTTCTTAGCTTATATACAAAGCCATCCCTCCTCTCTCTCTCTCTCTCCTCTCTCCTATTAAGACCTCTCTGGAAAAAGAACCAATTTTTAGTTTTTTTATTTATTTATTTTCTTCTTTGAATTGAAACACACTCTCTCTCTTCTTTAAAATTCTGCGGTGATTTCTCCATAGACGCCGGTACTTGTAACATGACACACTCGAACTGTCAAAAAACCCAAAAAAGAAAATGCGAATATTTAAGTCTTTTTAAAATCAATTAGAATGTAAAAATGAATTAGAAAAAACAAACAATTGAGTGAAGAAACAGAATCTGTTAAAGAATAAAGAAGGTTGTAACTCTCATTGTATTATTAATCACGTGGTTACACATATATATATACATACAAGAGAATAAAGCATATTCCTTAGGAGATAAGGATTGCTACAAATAAAGGGGATGATTATCCTAATCCTATAATGATTAGGATAACTACAACATATGGATAAATACAAGGGAGGATAATGACAAGT